CTTAATTCATCATCCATGGCCGAAAACACGAGGAAGCCCACCAAAAAACCTTACTTGACCTCCGATCATCTCCTTGAGCCATCGCTAAGCTTGGCTCTTTCAGGCGATTCATATGGTTGTGCCGGTGGTGGCTCATCATTCTCTAATGCGAGTGTGAAGAGGGAAAGAGATGTCGCAAGCGAAGAATCAGAGAGATTAGGGGCGATTAATACTTGTGGTGAAGATGGCGAAGAAGATGAAGATGGTAGTGTTAATGGTAGGAAGAAACTCAGGTTAACCAAAGCTCAGTCTGGACTACTTGAGGAAGCCTTTAAATTGCATACCTCTTTGAACCCTGTAATTTTTTTTATCTTTTAGAGCGAAACTTTATTATTCATATATACTTATATATTAATTCAGTTATTATCATATCATCTGTAATTAGCTAACAGTGATTGGTGTTGAATATTAGCAGCAACAAAAGCAAAAGCTGGCAAGGGACCTAAAGCTAAGGCCGAGACAAGTTGAAGTTTGGTTCCAGAATAGGAGGGCCAGGTATTGTTTACTTACTCCAGATATACATGTAACCGAATTTTGATTTCTAAAAGTTTTCAAAGTAAAATCAATTAACTGACGAAAATCTTTGTTTTTCGTCGTTAAATTTTAGAACGAAACTGAAGCAAACGGAGGTGGATTGCGAGTACTTAAAGAAATGCTGCAAGAGATTAACCGATGAGAATCAAAGACTCCGGCAAGAGGTTCACGAACTGAAAACACAAAAGTTGTTGCAACCCATCTACATGCAGATGCCGGCGGCCACTCTCACCATGTGTCCGTCATGTGAACAGATCGGAGACACCAATCCTGCGTCCAAGAACATCCCTTTTACAATGGCTCCTAAAAGAAACTTTTTTAATCCCTACTCTAGTTCATCAGCAGCTTGTTAATTGGTTAAATTTATATATTACCCATGCACAGCCCTACATGTTTTAGAATTAAGGGCTTGTCTTGCGATTGCAGGTCAATGTTCAAGTATTTTAAATATAAAATTATTGTAGAAAAATATTAGAATTTCCACTCCTATAACTTTCTTATTAAAATTTTGTATATATGTTATCATCTAAATTATTTCCTGCTTATGATATTACAAGAGATGAAGAGAATGTTTTGTTTATTCTCAATTAATGGCTTCCACGCAAGTTTTAACTTTTAAGGTTAAAAAAAGTCTTTCTCATCTAGATATAATTGTGTTCCGGATAATATATATATATATATATATATAATATATATATATATATATATATATATATATATATATATATATATATATATATATATATATATATATATATATATATATAGAGAGAGAGAGAGAGAGAGGTTCAGAATCATTTGAAACCATTCTAATTTTGTGAGATCGTGAGACCAAATCTAAAAATAATTTTAAAATGCAAAATAAATGGAAAAATCCAAAAAATCTTTTTTTAAATATTATTTTCGGAACTTGAATTAACTAAAAAAATAAAAAAATATATATATAAAAAATAAAAACAAATAAAATAAATTCCGTTTTTTTTTTTTTTGAAAAATACGTGAAATATTCTAAATAGAATATTACACTGACATATTCTAAAAAATAATTTTAAAATGCAAAATAAATGAAAAAATCTAAAAATTCTTTTTTTAAATATTATTTTCGGAACTTGAATTAACTAAAAAAAATAAAAAAAATTCTATTTTTTTTTGAAAAATACGTGAAATATTCTAAATAGAATATTACACTGTACATATTCTAAAAATAATTTTAAAATGCAAAATAAATGTAAAAATCAAAATATTCTTTTTTTAAATATTATTTTCGGAACATGAATTAACTAAAAAAAATAAAAAAAAATGCGTCTCACGGTCTCACAAAATATAGGTGGTCTCAAATGAACCTAACCCTATATATATATATATATATATATATATATATATATATATATATATATATATATATATATATATATATATATATATATATATATATATATATATATAACCCGTGGGATCCACGGTTAGAAAATTAATTAAACTTTTTAAGTAAAAACTCAAAACTATTAATTAATAATTTTAAATAAAATATTAATTAAAATATATTTTTTAGTTATATATAAAATTATAATCGTTGATTCAAATAAATATGTAAAACATATCATCTTATAATTGTATAAATTTTATTTTATTATAATTTTATAAATTTTATTTTATTTTTATTCTAATATTATTAATTTAATATAATTAAAATGTGATTTAAATTTTGAAATTTGAAATGTAGAATTAATAGATTGATAAGTGTCATGATATTAAATACAAGTGTCAATAGATTGATAAGTGTTATGATATTAATTATAATGCCTAACATTATTACACATGACAAACAAACTACTCTTTTATTAGATAGGGATATATATATATATATATATATATATAATATATATATATATATATATATATATATATATATATATAAGTTCAAATGAGAACCCCTAAAGGTTAAGAACTCAAAGAACCTCTAAACTTAAACTACAAAATAAGATCTGGGTTATTTTTCTTGCATCCAAACACTCCCACTCAACTCAAACACAAACCCCCCATCTCTCATCATCAACTACCACCATTGCCGCCACCTACTGACGTCGGTTCCGGCCATTGTTGTCACACCGCAAAACCAAGAACGGCGGAAACGTTCTGGGGTGGACGACGTCATGTAAAGTATCACAACAATGCAAAGTAGTAAACAAGCAACAACATCATCCATTGCATTAATAGTATAATTTTAAATACAAGTGTGTTCTTTCATAGAATAACAATATAATGAATATTCAAAATAAAAGACGAGTCTTGACTGCTCCGTCTTCACAAAACCTGGTCATCGTACCTGTCTATTGGTGACCTGAGAATACAAGTTATTTTGAAAGCGAGTATCAGCATAAGGCTGGTGAATTCAGAAGTATTTAATGTCATTATTTGTAAATAAAACTTGTAATAAAAGACTTGTACTTGTTTTGAGGAAAAGTTTGTATAAGTATGAAAACCCTATAAAATCCCATATTTTCTACTAGTATAAAAAGTAGTCTTATACCAAGACCCAAATGAAAGTAAGTAAATAGTCTTCTAACGAGACTCGTTGAAAGTAAGTAAGTAGTCTTCTCACAAGACCCGTTGTAAGTAAGTAGTCTTCTCACGAGACCCGCTGTAAGTAAGTAAGTAGTCTTCTCACGAGACCCGCTGAAAGTAAGTAATAATGTGATTGATAGTCTCCATACTAAAAGTTTTCCTTAGAAGAGATTCTGGGAAACTAAAGGTGACTTCCGCAATGAATCGCTAGGTCGAAATCCACATTTATATTACGTAATCATATATATATATATATATATATATATATATATATATATATATATATACCAAAACTATACCTATAATAGGTTGGGTGATGGAATAATTTCCAATAACAGTTGCAGTAAGAGGGACTAACAGATGCAGTAAGGGGGACTAATTTCTAAAATCGAATTGACATTACTTGTTCTATCCCTTAATTTCATTGATTTTACATGTAGTTTTGACTTTTTGTCTGTTTATTTTAAAATTGGAAATTTTAATTACATATTACATAGTTTTATAGCTTTTGATCATTTACAATTTTGTAGTTATATACGAAGTGGTTAAAATGATCGGAGCTATCAAAGTCCATCCTCGCAAAACGGGGTTCCTCATCTAGTTAAAGATTAAAACTTTTATTTATTTTGTGTTAGTAATTAATTTTTTATTTAATTTAAGTTATTTATTAACATTTAATTTCTATAATTAAAATAATTTTATAGTAAAAAAATAAAAGAAAGTAAAATGTGACTATTTCCTCAGTTTGGAAGAGTGAACAAAATATGACGTAGCATTTTGTGACATGGGCCTGGGCCTTAAAAAGTCCTACCGAAAAAAAAAATGGACAAACGAAGAGCTGCTCGTAATTCCGGTTACTGATTCTCAAACAGGTAGACTTCGTCCGGCGACTCTTCCAAATCCTACGTCACAGCAAAGAAATCGAGGTAATTCTTTTGGTTTTTTAGTCTGAAATGTTGTTAGCACTGACAATGCACACCACCTGTTTGATATTAAGCTCGCTTATGTAAACGGATTGAAAACCCTTTCAAACAAAGCATCATATGCTCTCCTACTTTCCAATATATCCCTTCGACGCAATTCATCTTTCCAATTCCTTGAAACCGCTTACCTTTATGTAAATTTAACATAATTCCAAGTTTCGCCTACATCGAAATTCAAGATTTTATACAAAATGCAGAATTTGTCAACAGTCTTGACCTCAATGAATATCGGCGTGATTCACTCCGAGGTTAGTTCGTATCAGTTAAATAAATCCAACATTTACGAAAGCACAACATCTCCTCACTCCAGTCTCTCAATTCTTTTCTCAGATTGAAGAAATTGGATGGGAACATTTGGTGAGATTATCAGAAGATCTATCATTTGTTACCTTTCGTGTTATGTAAGATCCTTAAACCTTCATAAAACCATCATGAACTTCTGAAAAATGCTTCAATCATCCACCATTTCTACTGTTTTTCTTCAGCGACAAGAAGGAAAGAGTTCACATCTTAGAAATCTCATTCGACAAATCTTATCCAAACACCCCACCATCAGTCTCAGCTGTTAGTTATCCAATATCTATAAACCTCTTACATTATTCTCAAACAACCTTTACTCCATAACTAATAATTGAATCCTTCATCAGGATGTACCTTACATCTTCAATCTGCAATGGTCAAAAAATTCAAGACTCAAAGACGTTGTAAACCAATTCAAACAGGTATATTACCATGAATCTCTTTACACTAGATTTATAATATCCTTCCTAAACGATTTGATCCACTCAGCATCTTGAGAATCTTCAACAATTTTGGTCAACGGTTGAAGATATTGACCAGTCTCTTTGCCTTTTTGATTCATCAAATTTGCATCGTGCCATGTCACTTCGCCATATAAATATTGGTAACTTGCAACAATAGCAATGTAATTTACTCTTTTTAACATTATTGAATAAAAAAAATATATAATTATGTTTCTATTTTGTGTTTTTTTTTTTCAGGAAATGATTGCTCTATCATAGTATTAATACATGCAAATGAGCCAAGATCTTTACCAGAGTAAAGTTTAGTTACATTGAGCATACTGAATAGTGATAACTCATCACCTTAACTTATGCTGACATCATCATGTTTATGTGGTGACAGGTGTCGCTTTATGGGGTTGAATGAAAATGTAAATCCACTAAGGGACAAATGGCGGAAGAATTGCAAGAAATGGTGTTTTTTTTACTCAACATTCTTTATAAAACGTGTAAAAATTCTGATTATTGTGTGTATATTGTTTTAGGAAAAAGGAAAAAACATTTGGTGAAAATTTATCAAATTTGTTGGAGATTCAACTTCCAAAACCACAAGGTGTCGAGAAAAATGAGCAACAAATTGAATGTGGGATTTGTTATTCAGAATTCCTTCCAATAAATGATGAATTTGGAGCTAATAGTGGGGGCAAAACAGACTATTCATGTGAAAATAGCATTTGCAACAAGGCTTTTCATAGTGTTTGCCTTGGAGATTGGTTACGTTCCATTACAACAACAAGACAGTATGTAACCAATACTCATTTATTCCCATTTTGCCCCTTGTCCTAATAACATGAAACATGATCATTCACTTTAATTTGTTTCCTTTTTGTGATTATATTGCAGATCATTTAATGTCCTTTTTGGGAATTGCCCGTATTGCTCTGAACCCGTTGCAGTCAAAACTGGCACAAGAAAATAAATTGTTTTGATTTGTTTATTAGTGAAAATTGTAGCAAAAATGTAAGTATATTGCGATAATAGTTAAAAAAATATGAAGTATATTGCGAACGTAAGTATAAAATATATATATATATATATATATATATATATATATATATATATATATATATATATATATATATATATATATATATATATATATATATATATATATATATATATATATATATGCATTACCAATATTGGTAAATAGGGTAAAGTATGTTTTGATATTCTCCACAATGTCCTAATTATTGCCCAAAA